GGGGGAGGGGGAGGAGGAGGATTATACAAGTAGCTAAGCATAAGCATAAGCATAAGCACGAGCACGATCTATGCATCGTTTAATAGTCTCCTTCGACTGTAAGTTTCCAGATATTGATATGAGAGGGAGTACCGCACCCCAAGCATGCCAGCCAGCTAAAGTCTGGACGGGAAGATAGGCATGTCATGGCGAGCAAGGCCACTCACTCACTCGCTCACTCACTCACTTGAAGAAGTCATCGTCAGCCCGAGAGTGAGACCAGCAAGCAGCAAGGCCGTCTTTCTCTCCACCTGTGTTCACGGAGCAACCAACAAGCAAGCGACAAGCAAGCAAGGGCATTCACGACGACCACGCGTTCGAACTTCGCAGCTCCCGGTTTGGAAACCTCGAAGACAGAGAGAGTACCGGTAGCCCAACGACGCTCTCAGGGATAGGATCTGCGCGGTGGCGGAGTTCGACACCCACGCAGAGACGGTAGGATAGGATAGCCAGCAGCTGTACGGTACTCTTTCCCTGTTGTCCCCGTGGACGCCGCTGGCTAGCTAGCTGGTCTTCTCGCCTTTCTCGTTGGGGGCTTGAGCACCGCTGGGACGTACCGGTAGGCCGTACGATGAAGGTAAGGTGAGGTGAGGTACTTAGGCATCGAGGATTGACGACCGCTACTTGCAGTGCAGTACCGTATCGATCCCGCTGGCTTCCGTCAAGCAGGCGGAATGAATTGAGAGCAGGCAAGGAAGGTATGGGAATGTCATCAGCGAGAGAAAGAGGGGGGGGGGGGGGGTGATTCTCTCTCGAGACCGTGAATCTAGGTTGTGATGACGAAGGCGGCGAACTTGAACGAACGCATCGCGTAAGTAGACAGATATGGCAGGGAAATCAATTCGGTTTTACGTTATAGGCATTGTATCTATTCGATGACTGTAAGCGTGTCGACGTTAGGGAAAAAGGCTTGGTTACCTGTGCAGACGTTGATGGCTGCTCAGCGACGATACTTACCTCTTGGAAAGGTCTAACTCGTGGTGGACTCGCACTCCTTGGATGATCGATCGGATTCTTTTTTTTTTTTTTTTTTTTCCGTCAGTCTGAGCACCTGACGCTGTTCATATATTAGAGCTCAGAACCTCCGGAGGTATAGTCCGCCACTTACGCTCTTCTGGATACCTACCGGTAGCTCCCAGCCAGACCTCCCGTCTCGTCTCGCAACGAATGACGTATCTAGAAGATCAGACGACACGAGTAATGCACCCTTCCCTTCGTACACAGTCGGATCCAAAGGACTCGAGAAGTCTCCAATGATATATTCTACTTGCCGAACGCAACCACAGAGGGGTGCTATGCGGCCAGCACCCCCATCTGGCATCGAAGAAAGCCACACGGCAGTGCTCATTTTGCCCCAATCTCGATAAACATCATGTGCTCGTTCTCTCGAGTTCGTTGGACATCGGTCCCCCCATGCGCGTCATCTCTCAACAACGGTTGATACTTCGCAGCCGACTGACTTCTCGTCCGTGCACCACCATCCCAAATAGAGTACAAACTCAGCGTCACAGCCTACGTAGCAAGTCAGTCAGTAGTAAGGTGGAGGAGGTTTCATGAGCCGCCCTGCCCTGCGCATCATCTCGACCTACGGACAACCGGATCGGGCTTATTTTGCGAGCATTTCGAAGATGTTTGATTTCGCGCTTTCAACCCTTGACCCTTGACTTGACATACAGCGGTACGCTGTCCTAAAGAAAAAGGGGGGGTAAGATAAGATACCGAGTAGGTAATAGGAGCATTGATTTACCTACGTCAGGCGGGGGGATCCAAAACGCAATGCGTCGACCTCGGGACGTATCAGGTAGATGAATCATCTACCAAAGACGACGTGTCCGATCGGAGGTGAAAACCACCACGTTGGGGAAGAAGCTTCCTTTTCCAATACCTAGGTCCCGGGGGGGGGGAGGGGGAAGGGGGGAGGGAAATAGGGATTTCTTATTTCCACCCCCGCGGTAAGTAAGTCTCGCAGACTTTCTCCAAGCTTTTCAAGAAGCATTTTTTTTTTCTTTTTTTCACAGAGTTTGCATCCGAAGTTGGTTTTTTCGGTAACTTTTCAAAGACGCGAATCGCTGCAGGCGGCCCCGGCTCGCGTAGCATATTTAAACATATAAACATTAACCATATTTGAATATACTACGTATTTAAACATTGTTCGCGTTGTGATCGGAGAGCTAGAGAGGCCGCGCGTGCGTAGCTTTTGAGGGCGAGTCGGTCGGTGTGTTTGTATCCCACCGACTGTCGCTACCCCCAACCACGTCTTTTCGAAATCCCTCGGGACTTCTTTGGGGGGGGGGGGAAGGGGGAGATGACGTAGGTATAGATGTTATTATTGACGTGTAGCTTGTATCAGATCACTCGAGATGAGACGCGTGCTTTAGATTTGGAGCCCCCTTTGGTGGACCCAGCCTGGAGTGATGTACTACGTACTACGTAGGTGCAATATTTATGCCCATCTCAATATACCACGTCCCAGGCGTAAGTATTACCCCTCGAGGGTAGGGTAACCAGGGGGTGCCACGGTACAGGCCTAGGTAAGTATTACCCCTCAAGGGTGCCTCCAAAGTTTAGTTTCCACTTTAAACCCCCGGGTAACCCTATCCTCGAGGGGTAATACTTACCGTACTTATGCCTGGGACGTAGCAAAAAGGCCTTTTCCTCAGCCGCCGTAGACTACGTTGTATTCCAAGGCCACACGTCCGTACCGGTATCGCTTTGAAGCCACGGAGGGGGATTTGTGCCCGCGAAGAGGAATGAATAGAGCTTCTTCCAATTCCAGCACTGGCAAGACGCATACCGAGTCTTGCTTACGGGTGGGTACCAAGTTCTCGGCAGGTCTCAAAACGGCGTAATAAAAAAAATAAAAATAAAAAAAACTACAGAAGGCTTGCAACCCACCACTTTGCAAAGGCATCTTTGAAAAGAACGCCACGAGACCAAGTGAAACTCAAACGGAGTCAAGAGTCAAGACAACAAGCGAAGACGCTCCCCTTCGCATTCCTGTACTGTTACTTGTATCACGCTGTAATCCTACCGAGGTGTAGGTATATTCGTTCGTAGTCCCCCCTCCGTACACAGCCAGCGCACCCCACCACCCAACACAGTAGGTACAAGTACTACACAAGTAGGTACCTACCTAACCCGCTAATCCGCAGCAAGCGCGTTTACTCCCCTGCCCGGACACCGACCTCCCGACCGACCTCCCGACCGACCTCCCGACCTACTTACCAACCGACCTACTATCCGCTCACAGCACAGCACAGCACAGCACAGCTCCGCGCGCAAGAACGCCACGCCACGACCAGCGAGCGGAACCAGCGCCTCAGTCAGCCGCGCAAAACCTTCCTCGCCCCGGCCTCGAGGCCGTGGTGTGCAGGACTCCACCACCCCTCGCGATGATTTTCAAACAGGAGGATTCAGGGGGTTTTTTTTAAGAGGGAGTAATGTTCCGCGGCGATTTATTCGGAGGTTTCTTTACGTGCGTTTCCTTTTCTTTTCTTTTCTTTTCTTTTCTTTTCTTTTCTTTTCTTTTCTTTTCTTTTCTTTTCTTTTTTTTTTCTTTTTTGTTTTTTTGGTTTTTGGAAACCGCGTTACCTACCTAGGCGAGAGGCGCCGAGATCCCGGACCGGGAGAAAAAAAAAGCGGTGCCTGGGAGGGCTTCTTAGCCTTGGCGAGAGTGTAACACCGCTGGCTTTGTTTGATCGGACTAAGCCTTTTTTTATTTCTATTTTGTTTTGTTTTTTTGGGGGGTTTTTTTGGGGTTTTTACTTAAATGCCCGTTCCCTTTTTTGATCGCTGATCTGCTTGTTCTCTGCAGTCGGTATGCCCGGTGGGGGTCAGAAGTCTCTACTGTATCGTCAGCGGCGTGGTTGTCGAGATATGTATATATATATATATATATATATATATATATATAA